CACCAAGATGGTTCTACTAGCCAATATCTTTCTCAGTCAGAGCTTCTCCAGTAGGTGCAGACTAGCACCAAAACCTCTATCCTGGTCTGCTTCTGGTATGTGAGTACTATAACCAGTAGTTTTCCCCCCTGGGGGTACAGGCAAGGAGTGAGTGACTTGAGAGCTGCAGGTTCCCATTGAAGACAGGCTACTGTACCAATTATGATCATAGGCATATGAGAGGCATCTCAAGGTTTGCATGTACTGTCTACAAGGGACTGACTCCCTTGCAGATAAGTCAGTGTTTGTAGCCCTGGGAGGGAGGGGCTATGTGATAAAGTCAAGGCAGGGTCTCTTCCCTATGACTTTCAAATACAGGACCTTGCCCTGAGCTGCTAGTGCCTGCTGTCAGGGGCATGTATTTTAAATTCTGGTTAGAGGCAGCATGCACCTTATATGGATGCTAGCTCAGTTTTAGCCCCAGGCGGGGTGAGGCAGGAGTTTTGCATAACACAGCCGCCAGCTATAGAGAGAAGCCTCTTTTCTGGAGACTTGGTTGAGCTTCTTCCCACTCAGTTTTCTCTAACCTTGCCTTCCCCACTGACTTTGGCACCAGCTGCCCATTCTGTGAGGCACAGGCTCAAGCCAACAATAACCCCCTTAAGTAAGTCCCATACTGGCGGTCACTAGGACCATCCATTGTCCTCAAGCACCCCTAATAGGGATGTGGGGGTTTCACCCTCTGGTCTTAATTGCCTGGTTGCTTTTTAGCATATGTCATCTGCATTTGCCTGTGTCAATCTGCTTCCCTGGCATTCTATTTGTAGATCTCTATTCCCAGACTCCTAGCTTTCTCAGGAGGTTGGCTCTATTTGCAAATAAATTATGTGCATACCCCTACCCCCTTTTCCAATGTGGTCCCAGTCCTAAAGTGAGAATGAGTCCTTAAGTAAACAGTGGCAGAGAGACTTCATGCTGCAGTCTTTCCTCCTCTCAGGTTATACTGCCCTGGTCATGTTCCAGACGCATATTTCAATATTTTCTATGCTCTCTGCCATGTCGCTTTTCTTTATGCAAACAGTGGTCATCCAGTCATCCTCCAGGCACCATTTTCTTTATTTCATGTTGCTTGGTTTTGAATATGTGAAGGAAACAACTGCAGTCCTCTTTACTCTCCAAGGCCTCCCACAAGCAGCATTAAAATGACAAATCATAAATTTTTCCTAGACACTTCATAGTCAAACTTCTTAGAATAAGAGATTAAAGAGGAAATCTTGAAGGCAATCAGAGGGGGAGAAATTACACAGAGAGAATCAAAGATAAGAATTACAAAAAATGAATTAATGAAAAAGAGCCACAACATATTTATCATTTGAACCTACAAGCCAGAAAACAATTGAGGAACACCTTTAAAAAAGGAAAAGGAAAAAAACCCTTAAAGTCCAGAATTTTATGCCCAGTGAAAATATCTTTCAAAAATAAAGATAAACTAAAGATTTTTTCAGACAAAAAACTGAAAGAATTTAATATTAGAAGCCCTGTGCATTAACAAATGCTAAAGGAAGTTTTTCAGACAGAAGATGTATGATATTAGATGGAAATTTGGGTCTATATGAAGAAATGAGAAAATCAGAAATAACGACAATTATGATAAATACAACACTTTTTTCCTGCTTTTTATTACTTTAAGAGAATCTGCGAGGCCATAAGGCCACAACTACTGTTCAGTTTTACCAGGGAAGCCTGAAAGAATAAAGTCAATAAAGAGTAAAGAAGCAGATATGACAGAAGAGAAGGGAGTGCATATTAGCAACATTCAAGTCCTCTGTCCTGGTGACCCCTAAGACAGACACCATACCGGTCTATCCCATAATTTTATAATCTGCTTGAGCTAACATGTGTGTATTTCTATGACTTTTAACCACAGATTGTCCAACTTGCCATTCTCTTAAAATTATATTTGTAACAAGATACTCCAGGTGAGAGTGGACCCCAAGATTTTTGAACACTAATAAAAAGAGACTGAAAAGTAAGCTAAATTTTACATAAACTCAGAGATGACTCAGATGTTGAAACTACCAGATAAGCAGACTCTGATTTCCTAATCTGACATTTTTTTTAATATCTGGGAAACATACTGATTAAGTCATTGTATGCTTATATCCTGTTGATTCCATAGAAGAGATCACATGTCTATGGTTTAGCTTTCTTGAGGGTAATACACATGTCACTGAAAACTTTCTTGTGAAAAATAGGGGGCAAGGAAGTCGTTAAGTGGGATTTAGAATAAATTAGGAGGAAAAATAACCCTTTTTCATGAGGCTAGAGATTCTATGATTTGAACTCTGATGTGGAAGTACCAGGAGTGATTCTAATAGTAGAATTATAAACTAACCTTCTTGTCATGTAGATAGTACATGAGCAAAGCCAGAAATGTGCCCTGTCAGGACATATTTGGGCTTGTGATGATACTGCTTTTCCATGATCCGTGAACATTGGTCACATCCCATTAAAAGCTGCAGAGTGATGAATTTGGGTTTGTGCCCTTAAAAGAGCTTAGAGTTAGCATAAGAGGTGGATGGCTTCATCCATGGTCATGTTTCCTTCCCAAGGCAACCCATATCCAACGGCTGACTGGTTTGGAGATATGAAGGCCTAGCCCTTTCACTCCAGTTTGGGACAATTCTGATGGATGGGCATATTGATAACTGTGTCTTCCATTGATACTACATCACAGTTTAGCTTCTCTTCTATGCAGTCTTCTTCCTTCCATTCCCCTTTGTGGATGTGACACCCAAATGAACTCCCCAATAAACCTCCTGCTAATCTATATCTGAATTTGCTTTCTGGGGAACTTAACCTGCAACAGTCTTTCAGCCTGCTTTGGGAATGAAAGACTTTGGAAGTCAAGTTAAAAATTAGGATGTCACTCAGAGGTCCAGGTGGAATCATTGAAGGTTTTTAAGTTGGAGTGATCTGACCAGCTGAGATCCCTTGGTTGGTGTGGAAATTGAACACAGGAAGACCTGGTTGGAAGCAGGACACCACACAAGTGACTACTGAATTACAGAGACAATAATGCCAAGAAATTGGTGGTGTGACAATGGAGATTGAAATAAGGTGACAAATTCTAAAATAGTTAGGAGTCCAATCCAAAGCACTAATTGATTATATGTTGTCATGAAGGAGTGGGATGAATCAGAAAGATCCAGGTTTCTGGAATAAGTAGCAATGCCATCATTGATCCCAATCCAAGTCATGGCTCTTAAAAAAGTAGACACTTATGGCCTCCCCAGTGGCACAGTGAGTTGCGCGCAGCACTGTGAAGCTGTCTGCAGCCTCTGCAGTGCGGGTGTGTAGGGGCAGGATGGGCACTGGGCAGGTTATATATGATCTGGCAGACGGCTCTAGGAGAGTCCTGGAGCCCTTGGTGGGTTTCTCAGGCTTTTATTGAGCTTTACATGCAGTGTGGCAAACAGATACACAGCAGGCAGGGATGCCAGGGGGCCAGGAGGCCAGAAGGCCTCCAAGCCCCCAGCAAGTCTTCACTCTGGTCTTCTCTTTCTTCTTTTCCCCCTTCTCTCTCCTGCTTCTCTCTCTTGCTTCTGCTTCTCTTGGTGACTATCTTAATACTCCTTCCATGGCCCACAGAAGTAAACAAGACAACAATGTAACAACTACAAGTGCCCCATCAGACAGGGCAATCCTAATGGTGGGAGGGCAGAAAAGTCTGAAAACCATTTACCCTACAGGGTTCAATTCCTGGCCAGCCAGGGAGATACCCACATGGTGCAGCAGACCTCTCCTGCCTCGCCTGCTGCTCCCCTCAGCAGTGCTTACAGTCCCTCTGTCTGTTCTGCTTCCCGCTCTGTCTCTAGTGATTCCTCTCACTCTCCCACGCCTCTGGCCTATACCCCAGCTCTTGCATAAATAAATCTTTAAAAAAGATTTATTCCTTCTTCCTACTGCCTCTGAGCAGCACCTTAAGTCAGTAAGCAGCCTAGTAATTTTCAAGGTTCTGTATATGGCGACTTTTCCCCATTCACTCCTGAGAGTATGTAGGTAGCCATCTCCCTTCCAATATCCCACTGTTACAGGGCAGCCCCAATATAAAACGGGTTGCCTGACTGTGGGTCCTCACCCACGTGCTTAAAAAGGACTTATTAATACTCTACTGCAGGCACACACAAAAGGTTAATAAAAGGTTTATTTACAAAGGAAGGGGAAATGAGGAAATGTACAACTCAGGGAGAAAAGAGGGAAATAAAGTCTTAAATGCATCCTACCCTTTTCGCTGCCCTGGAATCCCAATGGCACTCTGAGAGCTGGCTGCGAGCTACGAGCCATGAAGCCAAGAGGAGAGAGACCCCAAGGCCCATGTGTCTGGTTTTTATACCAAACCTGGCTGCTTAACTCCACCCTCAGGTCCCAGCAACCTTCCCTTTGGTGGTGATGGAATTTGTCTTTCCCAATGTCTTGATGGCTTTGGTCTAGAGTGGGGGTGGAGTCCACAAAGCCTGCATGGAATTAGCTCAGGACATCCGTTCCCCCTAACACCACCACTACTAAAGAGAAACAGGAAGAATTGGGCCCAGCTATTTGCAACTCCAAAACATAAATGCAATTACTTATGCACAGGAAAAAAATGCAAATTAAACTTGTGAAAATAAGTCTCTGAGGAGACTTAATGTAGTATTAAGGGTAAAAGCATGCATTTGGCATTAAACTGAGTTCAAATCTTGATTCTACCAATGATAACATTGATTTAGGCAAGTTATTATCTTCTCTGCGCCTCAGTTTCTTTTACCTAAAAAACATGGATAATGATGGTACCTAACACTAATACAGTTGTGACTACCAGATAAATTAACACAAGCAAAATGCTTAAAACCATGCTTGGCCTATAGTAGTCATTTAATAAGTGTTACAAATGAAATGTACTTGCAAGATTCTCTGGGTTATTTTATTGGACCCACAAGGAACTTCCAAACAGGTTTTAACCTTGTTTAATCTGATCTTACCCTGGATCTCAAATGTGGCCTCCTTGATCCTTGAGAGCTAGATGAACAGACTCAGTTGTCCTAATTCCATGGCCAGCAAGAGTTCACAGGTTCCTGCATAGTCCAGGGATTTGCTTCTCAGAGTCTCCTCTGTGTCCTGGGATTCTGCAGCCTCTGTTCTATTTTTCATTCTACACATGAAATTCAGTGTCTCCATTGGTTTCCACACAAACCCCCACTCATGCATATAGATTTAAGAATAGGGACTTATAGGGGAAAGATTACATATCATAGAACACAACTTTGAAAATTCATGGAAACAACTTTTTAAAAAAAGATTTATTTATTTATGCATATAAGAGCTGGGGTACAGGCCTGAGGTATGGGGGGTGGGTGAGATGATATACCAGAGACAGAGTGGGGAACAAAATAGGCGGATTGACTGAAGTACACTGCTGAGGGGAGCATCGGGTGAGTTAGGAGAGGTCTGCTGTGCCATGTGGGTAGATCCCTGGCTGGGTGTGGGTCTGCTACTCCGAAGTGGCCTGTTCGGCCACCATTTTGGAACCGATAGTTCTAAATCCTAAGCAAGTCAAAATGGCCTGGTCAGTTAGGTACAGGAGCCCAAGCCTGCAAGGTGCCTTTCAAATCAAACAAGAGCACAAAACTAGATCACACTGGGAAGGCTATGCATCACGAGGTATTGTTAGGGGGAAATGTTTGTATCGGGGCTGCCCTATAACAGTATGACCGAGAACGCCCAAAGGGGCCAAGGACCTATGTATTACAAGGGACCCCAGAAGCTGGCCTTGTTGATAAGACTCAAACCATGGCTGAGGGATTAAGGCATGATCTCAATTACAATACCAAGTCATCAAGCAGATGAGAAGTGCCTGGAGGGCAGACTCACAATCCCTGATCTTCTATATTCTTCCCCATTCTTTAATCTCCTTCCCCTTAATCTCCTTCCCCTTTCCTTTTGCTCCTCCCCCTTACAACCGATGCTGTGTATCAATAAAAAGGCCAAGATCTTGCTCTTTGGCAGCATCCCGCATTATGTAGCCTGCTCCACGACTCCCATTTCTTTATCAGTGTGGTGTTGCCTGATGCAACAGCCGTGGATCGAACTTGTGCTGCAGTGGCTGTGGGTAACTTCATAGAAACAACCTTTAAAAGCCACTTTAGATATCCCTGTTTCACAAGGTCTTTTTAGGTGCTCTTTCCCCTCAAGTTCCTTCCTTTTTGCTGCAAATGGCAAGATTTCATCTTTCTGTGTAGCTAAATAGTATTCCATCATATATATGTACCACAGAGCTTCAATATCCAGCCATCTATTAGTGGGCATTAGGTTGCTTCCATATCTTAGCTATTGCAAATGAATGCCACAATAAACATTGTGGAGTATATCATTCTTTGAGTTGGTGGTTTTGAATTCTTCAGATAGATGCCCAGAAGTGGGATTACTGGACAAATGGTATATCTATTTTTAGATTTTTAAGAAAGGTCCAGACCACTTTCCATAATGGTTGCACTAATTTACATTCCCATCCCCCGTGTATGAAAGTGGAACACGTTTATTTGAGGTTTTCTTCCCTTTTTAAGTTTCCAAAAGTCAAGTAACAGCGCCAGTTGTTACCGTTACTATTTTCTCTATTTTTTACAAAATTTTGCCAAGGCTAAAGGGGGCCTTGAAACAGAGATTGGGTTGCTCTCCTCACCACATCCAAACTTAGCAACCAGACTCCTCTCCCTGTCTCACACATGCTGTATCATGAACTACAGCGAAGAGAAAGGAAGAGAAGAAACAGACACAGAGAAGACTACTAAGAGAGACACTTAGTGAAGTCTGTGCTTGTGGTGTGGGAGAGAAAATGCAAAGCTACAAAAAGGAGACAGAAGTGTTTTGCTCCTTCCGCTGCCTGTGATCCCTTTCTTTCCCTCTGACACTTTTCTCAGGCCGTATTTGTGGTCCTGATATATGGAATCTGGAGTTCTTGGATTTGGGTAGGTTCTGCTCGATCCTTACTTTCACTAAAATTCTGATACTTTGTTCATCATGAGTTTTTAAAAAAAAATAACACTTTTATTGAGACATAATTCACATGTCATAAAATTAATCAATTTAAAATGTACAATTCAGGTGCCGCAAGGGGTTCAGCAGCCACTGCAGCTTGAGTTCAATCCCCAGCCAGGGAGGTGACCCACATGGCACAGCAGTCCTCTCCTGTCTCTCCCGCTGCTCCCCACAGGAGTGTATTTCAGTCAATCCACCTGTTCTGTTCCCCACTCTATGTCTGGTGAATACTCTCACTTCCGCACCTCTGGCCTGCACCCCAGTTGTGTATGCATAAATAAATAAATCTTAAACAAAGTGTACAATTCAGTGGTTTTCCAGTATATTCACAGGGTTGTGCAACCATTACCACTATCTAATTTTGAACACATTCATCACTCCATGTGAAGTTTGGGGCATTTTCTGCATTAGTGAGATTACTGGAAGAGAAGCTACCTGTCATCATACAGAAGTTAACGGTTGGGCCTCCCGGGTGGTGCAGTGGTTGAGCGCTGGGTTGCGAAGCTGCCCGCGGCCTCCGCAGCACCGGTTCGATCCCCCGCTGCTCCCCGGCCACTGGAGGAGGGTCCCACATGGCGCGCAGACCTCTCCTGCCGCCCGCTGCTCCCCTCAGCAGTGTCCTTCGGTCCTTCTGCCTGCTCTGCTCCCCGCTCTGGCTCTGGTGAATTCTCTCACCCTCCTGCGCTTTGGACTGTACCCAGTGCATGTATAAACAAAACAAACAAACAAATAAATAAATAAATAAAACATGCCTCTATTAAAAAAAAAATTAAAAAAAAAGAAGTTAACGGTAAAAGCATCTGTTGAAGAAAGAATGGGACTGACTTTAACTTCCTGTTCTAGACTATGCATTTTGCATATGCATACTGTATATATACATATATGAATATATCTATGACTATATATATGTGTATATGTGTATTGTGCTATTTTATTTTTTAGGAAGTTGAGACTCAGAGAGGTTAAAAAACATGTCCAAGATCACATAGTGAGAGACAGAGGCAAGATTTGAAGAGAGACCTATTTGATTCTAAATTATGAGTTCTTCCCCATTTGTAGTTTTGGAGCAGTAAGCAGCATAAAATTGGGATCAATGAAAGAAGGAAACAATGCAGATACATTTAAGGAGTTCAGGAAATTATTTTCTCTAAATTTTCTAGCTAAATCTGAAGGCCAGTGTCAGGGATGAAGGCAAATTAAGAAAGCGAAAATGGTGGTAGAGTTCCTAGTTCTTCTTAGAAATAGATTTCCTACACACACAGCTTCATATTTTGGGAAGTCCAGTGTCTCTTTCTAGCACAAACACTGATGCATAAAGATGATTTCTACATCACCTGATATTTTTAGTGCATTATCCATTATGAATGTATATTTCAAATGCCTTGTAAAGATGATGGTTTCTCCTCTCTCAGTTTTCATTGAAACTCAGGCAGCGTTATTTATTACTTCCCCTCATGTCCCACATTATGTTGTAGTAGATCTGTCTTTTTCTAATTAATTTTACAAAGAATGCTTATTTAGTTCAGATGCTATGTTTAGGGTTGTACAGATGGAACTAAATAAATATAGACCCACCTACAAAAGGTTGCTGTCTTAAATGGATGAATCAGACCCTCAAGCTGGCAAAATACATGCTAACCATTTCACCTTGAACTGGGTACTTATCCTTTCTGGGTCTCAGGTTCCTTTTCTCTAAAATAAGAGGGGTCTGAACCAGGGCAGTGGTTCTCAGAGGAGGAAAGAGCGGTGTCCAAGTTACCTTCTAGCGAGTGTTTTTTTAACTCCCAGGAATCCCTCCCCACTCTCCAAGTTTAAGTCTCACTTAAAATCACAACCTCTTCTCTATTATCCATGAGAACCACTAGCTAGAGTATCCCGGAGGACCTTTCAAGATTTAACATTCTACAGGAGCACACATTTCCAGGATGAAGATGAATATAGTAATGATACTGTATATAAACAAAGGTGCTGGTGTGTTATGAGGCTCAGACTTAGGAACACGAAGAAAGTGACCACACAAAACCTTCAGGGTAGATGTGTCCTGGATATACCCGTCCCCCCGAGGCACTAGGAGAGAACATTGAAGGCCGTACCCAGGGCATAACTGAGGAAGCTCTGTGCTAGGATCTCACTGCCCGCTTGTCTTTTCGACATGACTAACCCAAAGGGATGGAGCTAATAAAAGGTCTTCTTTTATTCAGAGTCAGTCTCTGCTGAGCCAGCGCTTAGTATCTTCCTGATACATGAAGACAATGAAAACAGGATAAGCAGGTCAGACAGAAAAACTGTGTAATGGTGACCTGGCATTCCTTTTTGCAGGGGTGTACCGTCACCCTGGGACCCACGTCACATAGATAGTGCCACACATACGCACTTGTCTTAAACGTGTACATCTGCCTACTATAGGACTCAATCCAGTATACACATACTCTGCCCCAATATACACTCACTCACTCTGTTATACTTGTCTGTGCACAAATAACTTTTTCAAAACCATATCCTGTTCATAAATAAGCAAAGATGTCTCTCTAGTACTAGAGAGAGTAAATGGTCACACTCCCTCTCTCTTCCCATCTCTGTCTCTTCATATACACATTTATGCCTTATCTACTTTCAAACACACCCACAACACACTACATCCAATCCCACCTCTCCAAATATTCTTTCTCACCCATCCTTACACTCTGTCCTTAACACTTTATCCAAACCACACACTTGGTTGCCACCGACCAGTTCTCTCTCACACACACGAAAACACAGACGCATTCACAATCAGTCCATCCACACAAACTTATACTTCTGCTATATCATCCACTCAGGTCTCCACATACTTACATTCACCCTCATATCAACCTTGACCACATACATGTGTGCACACTGTGCCCCACCACCCTGTCCACATCACATACTTGGTTCCCAGCATCCATCCTTATTCCTGCACACACACACATCTATTCATCCCTTG